TGTGACAGATGTTGGTTTTTGATCTTTATGCTGGTAAGAATATGGATGGTCTTTTTCTTCTTTTGCTAAGAGAACACGACATCGGCTGTTTCCATAATCTGAATGAAAGCTTGACTAGTCAGAACACAGTACACATTTCTACTGTGCATCATCCATTTCAGATAAGCTTGAGCCCAGAGAAGTCGGTGGCGTTTCTGGATGCTGTTGACAGATGACTTTTGACATACATAGTAAAGTTCTAACTTGCATTTATGGAGGCAGCAATGAACAGTGTTTCTGGAGAATGGTTCTTCAAAGTATTCCAGAGCCCAGGCAGTGATATCCACCACAGAAACATGCCAGTTTTTAATACAGTGCCATCTGAGGGGTCGAAGGTCACGGATATTCATATATAGTTTTCAGTTCTTTCCTTTACACACTGTCATTTCCTCAGATTCTCTGAATCTTTTGATGATATTATGCACTGCAGAGGGCAAAATGAATCATTATCTTTCACTGCTTTCTGTTTTTCTGTTTCTGTCCCGACTTGCCTACTTAAAAAGTCTTAGGAAATCTTTTAGTTTAAATGTCTGGTTAGTCTGTAGTTTTATAGCACATGAACTAGCTATCTAGTGTAAAAGCTAATCCAGCTGAAACTTTTGGAACTTTTAAAGCAATGTTATCTGTAACTTCCTAAAACAAGCTGACAACTTCAGCTACAATGGCTAGTGTGCTAGTTAGTATACTTGCAGTCAAAACTACATTCAACCCAACATGTTTTATAGTTTAGCCTAACCCTCTGTTTTGGCAGATATTCATCACTGCCTCGTGTGTAAATTGTGAGAAATTATTCATTTCTGTACGTCACCCACCTTCTAATCTGATTTTGTGCTTTTGTGCCTGTTTCATGCTAATGAGAGATCTCTATCTTGTGATGTGGTTGTAATTTTGCTGTGAACGTGTCAAGTTTTGCTGATGATTCCACTACCAGACACTTTAAGGTTTTTTCAAATCTTTGGTCATTTTCCTGTAATTGAGAGCAATCATGTCCCATTTTTGCCCTGTCTGCTGCCAAAAACCCAGATGATGGGTTTTTGATATCTTTTATGATATTTTTGAGTTTGCTAAGTCAATACATAGTAATATGAGTGTGATTGAATCATTTTAATGACACTACATTCTATATTGTGTCCTATATTATATTATCTTTCAATGGCAGATTGGGGTGGTGGGAGTGAATTTGGGGTCAGCAGTTGTAGGCTTACTAAATGTTTTTTAAAGTGTATGAATATGAACCTCATTCATTCATTACCCTTTAAAACTCCTATAATGTTGGTTTTAATATTACAAACTATTCGCCAGAAGGTACTTTTAGATTTATTGTTCAATATTTCAAGAATTCTGTGAAAGTTACTAAATGATAACTAATATACTGCAATTATCTGTTTATATTTTTTGTCAAATTATCTGTCTTGAGAATTGATCTCCACTTTTGAAAGATGATAAATTGTGGATATTAATTTTATTGTAATTTTTATTTCTGATGTTAGACTGATATATTTCTCTTTAGTTTTATAATTGTTATTTTGTATAATGTAGTATTTCTTCATTTTTTGTTTTAGCTTCAGAGTTACTACTAACTATTTGAAACTAGTGATGTTTAGTTTTTTTTATTTTTGTGTGTTTTTTTTAATTACTTGTTAAAAACCACTTCTGAATTTTTATGAAGATTCTGGCATTCCTTTGATGGAAATTTCACAGTAATTCCACATCTTTGAATGCTTGTCTATAGATCAATGGGTTCAAAGCCAGAGTTGAAAACACATTTGGGACTTTTAACTGACTTGAACTTTATACTACAATTGTTTTGTTTTAAGTGACCCTAAACCTTAATTATGCTTATTTTATTACAACAAATGATTGAACATTCCATTTTGGCACTAACAAAAGAAGCATAACGCTACACTCTTAAAAGATGAATCTCCAAGGGTTCTTTAGTAAAGACAATGGTTGTGAGCCATGAATGTACATGCTTAAATGATTTTTTGCATTGCAAAGTGGTTCTTAAGACTGATGGACTGATGGTTCTATATAAAACCTTTTTGAAAATGGCTTTTTATAACATCAAAAAGTGTTCTTCTGTTGTTACAAGCTTGCCATCACAACAATAGCAGAACGCTTTTTGGTGCTATATAGAGCCATTCTCAAAAAGGTTCTATAAACAACCAAATACAACATGTATGCAAAATCACCAGCACTATTTATTCAACATTTCAAAAATGTCAAGAATCTGCAACCAAATTGGTTTTATGATTTTGAAAACATTGATTCCAAACTGTTGGACAGTGATTCCCGAATCTTTGAACGCAAGTGTATATGGATCATTCCATCAAATTTTTCTTCAGATGGACTCTCCATCGATCCGAAGAACCATTTCACCATGCAATGAACCATATAAGCGTGCATATGGTTTTGACTGTTCATGGTTCTGTATAGAACCCCTGTCTATACTGAAGAATCCTTTAAGAACTATTTTTTTTTCAGAGTGTAGTTTAAAGTTGGTTTAATGTATGTTTTAGTTCATTGTCCTGTAATAGTCAGCCTCTTTTCTTCTTCTTCAGAATTTGCTGATATTTAATGGAATCCTTTCTTTCTTCTATCCCCACATTTCCTCAACCAGATGATGTTTGTCCACAGACACTGCACAGTGTGCCACTGAATCACTATTCATGTGCCAGCCAAATCCTTCTGTAGGTCCATGGCAGTGATGTGAGTGTTCTGCTTTGCATACCTAACCAATCTACAAGAATATTTTTTCAGAGATTATTGTTGGTTTTCCTGATCTTGCCTTGATTCCATAGTTCTTCTTAACTTCCATTTCTTATTGCCATTTCAGACAGTGAAAATTACAGGCAGAAAGTGTTTAGACATCTTTTATTATCTTCTCCTGCTTTGTAAGAGTCAATTGTCTTTAGTTTCAGATCCTCAGTGAGCCTGTTAGATTAGCCCATAGCTGTTGAGTGTAAGCATTACATCTTGAGAGGTTTGAAGCGAATTGTTTATATCTGAGTGAAATTAATGCCCTAATGAGTCAAATAAGCTTTGAGAACTTAAAATATATATATATATTTATATATACATATATCAATAGTAGATTGACCAAAAGGGTGTCCAAACTTGTTTGTTAAAGGTTCTATATATGACATTGTAAACAATAATATGGCAGCAAACAACTATTTTCTATGTAAAGATATAGTGGAGTAGAGGCGCCCTGATCAGAGAACGGTCACACTGCCTCTGTGTGTGTGTCGTAATCTGAGCTTCTCTGTATTTTGTTTCGGTCATGCGTTCATGTTAGTCCTGCCCTGTGAAAACTTTGTCCCTCCCCACATTTTGCTTTGTTCCTCCCAAAGAGACAAAGACAGTGAGCGCCCACACAGCATTGTGCATGCAAGATTGTGGAGTGCAATAGGAAACGTTCATATTCCTCCTCTGAATATTCCTCAAAGCTGATGAGGCAGAAGTTGGCTTCCTATGCACATTTTACTATTCTGCCTTAAATCGTGCAGCAGTTCCTTTCTGCGCCCGAGGTGCCCGAATATAACTGCTGCACCATTTAAGGAGGAACAGGAAAATTCGAACAAGAAACTGGTGAATAGGGAGCTGACTTCAGCTTCATCAAAAGAGTTAAAAGGCATGAAAAGGGATGAGGAGGATGCTCTGTTTCTGTTTGATATGTGGGTAACATTAACTTATTTTGCTGTTTAACAGAACCAATACATAAGTAAGTTTTATCCCGTTCGCTGATGTTTGTGATAGCAACTGGTTAGCCTCACAAAGCAGCAACTGTAGTGACAGTTTGCTAACCTACAACCTAGTTAACATTAGTTACATTACTGCGTCTTTGTTCACTCTAACGTTATGTCAGCGTGTTTGTCTGTACAACATTTGCAAGGTACTTTAAGGCCCCAAATCTAAAAAACAGGTGTCATTTGACCAGGGGTGCCCTATTTTTGGCATACAACTGTATGTGTTTTGCAAAACCAGAATTCAGCAACCACCCAGAGTCCCCAGGTTTTCAGTACAGGTAATTATTGTGGAAATAATTGTAATTGTAATTGACTTGTTACGAATGTGTAGGTTAGACTGAAAACAGTGGAGTATACTTTTAATGGGACAGTTTTTCACTCGCAGATGAAATCTTATTACATTGTCTTTGAGATTCTCCATTGAGTGTGTGTTTTAACCGTGAACAGGACTTAAATCAGAGTCCAGAAACCTTCCCCAATTTATCATACTGATAGAATCCAAACCCTGGAGACTCGATCTGTTGTCTGGACAAGTGAAGTTTATTCGTTGCGCGCGCAGGTTCCAGACACCCAGCCAGCCCGTAAGACAATGGACTGTCACAGTTTTATAGCTGGACTGATGCCAAGATTAGACCCAGCCTATACATGACAAGTGACAGGTGTGACAGACATGACCATATAAGGAGAAACACAAAATAGGCAGCCTAAAATACAACTTCAGCACATTCACACACACTACACAGCACATTTCACAACAATAAATTCCTTCAATACAAATCAAAAAGATTAGCTCTTTAATATAGATTTTCTTTGAATTAGACTCACATAATAGAAACATGCCACCCAGTACATCAATCCTATTTTATAATTTATTAGATTGCTCTGTTTAGATATGAACAGGATATGTTTTGATAAAATAAAACTGTAATGAGCTGCAGAAAACAGAGGTAACAATGTTGCATGAGGCAGTTGTCAAAAAAAAACAAAAAAACAGCAGGTTTAAAAAAATAAAAATTTAATTTAATACGGTGCAGGACATAATGATCAAGTGAACTGCTTGCTCATGTTTCATGTGCAATACAATCTAAAAAAATAAAACTTACTTTGACCAAATCTAGAAATGCTTAAATTCAATAAAAATCTGAAACACGAAATGTATACACAGATTTATAATTTAATGAAATGGAAAACAAATAAATAACAATTGCAAGGCACAGAGTTTTTAAAAGACAGTGCAGTAGACTAACACACACTGCTACAGCCATTACTACAACACAGACATCAGTGAATTTAAGAATCAGTGCCAGTTGAGTTGTCTGTGCTTTAGGGTTTCAATTACAACCCAAAACTTTAAAAAACATTATTTAGAAGTGCTGAAGTGACTCCAGGAAGCCTTCATTCCATCTTTTATTTTAAGTGATGGGTAAAAACTCTGGAGTTAAATGACTACAGACATCCAAGCTGCAACCAAATACAGAGGTATTGAAATGATTCTTTACATTCTGGTGTTGCTACAGTACTTGGCTTCTTCTTGGAATCTCTTTATTTTCTGCTCCACTTTGTCAGCCAGGCTGTGCAGGTTTACCCTAATCAGAATGGCTGGGAGGTCAGTCAGCTGCTGTTCTGAAGCCGCACTGAGCCAACGCTGCAATGCCTCGCCATTTGGGCCATTCCCATCTGATTTAAGAATGCGATAAAGGCATTGCAGACGGCGCTGTTTCTGCTGGGCGAACAGCTCTGAGAGGAGAGGCTTGATGAGGGTGGGCCAGCCTGAGGGAGATCAAAAACATCTCAGTAACACATCAAACCAGCCTGAAGTAGACCAAAAACATTATAGGAACATCAAAACAGTCAGAGGGAGATCTTAGTAACATCAAACCACCCTGAAGGAAACCAAGAACACCTCAGCATGATATCAAACATGCCTGAAGAACATCAAAAACATACACCATATTGAACGCACACTGGAAGCACAGCTAATGATGATACTAGTAAAGATATGGGCTGCTATTACAAAAATCAAAGAGATACTAGAAAAGCAATTTAAAAAACAAAGAAAAAAATTACTCAAATGAAGAACCAAAGTACTTTTGGCTAAGTTGACTATTCTGGCATTAACTCTGCTCCACCACAAAAAGCACCTTACTTGTTCATGTTTTGTACTTGAACTCTAAACTTTAAGGAGTTCTAATAAACGACACTGGAACAGGCTCCTTGAAGCTTAGGTTTTCAGGGCGTTTCTGATCAGTGGTCTGCTTACCTTCTGTTGTGATGGTGTTGCAAGTAACACACATGCTGTCGTGCCAGTTGGTCCCGTGGATCACCAGCTTCTCATCACCCTGGCAGGCTGTGTGTGGGGTGCACTGTATGATACCTGCAGCTCCATTTGCATAGTGACCATTTCTGCATGGCTCACACTCTGTGTCTTTGTATGGGGTTCCTGCACACAAAACAGTCCATTAGGAATCCAGCAAAACTGTTCCAACTCACAACATGCACGCCTAAACAGAGTAGAATTGGCTCTGAGAGTAGAATTTGCTTCGACAGTAGAATTGACTGAAAAAGTAAGTAGAAAGTAGAGTTGATTCTGAAGGTAAAACTAGGTAGGACAGTAACCAGCTCTGACAGTTGTGAGTTTTGTAAGTACCTTCGTTTTTGATCCCGTGTCCAGTGGAACACACCGTGTGCTTCTTGCAGAAGTCTGACAGCCAATAGTATCCCTCCTTGCACTGGCACACGTGGTTCTGGGAGGGCGTGCATGACTGTGTCTCCTCCTGGTTGAGAGCACACAGGTCACAGGGCAGGCACTCGGGGATGTAGTTCCAGAAATCGGTGTAAAATCCTGTGCTGCAGGGGCGACGTTCTGTGGGGCGTGTGTCTGTGCAGTCGGCATGCAGATGAGTGCCAGGAGGACAGCGATCACAGACCACCTTTTTACCTGACGGGAGCACACGCTCGTACGTGTTGCCGTTTGCTGATACGAAGAGAAGTAGAGGCAGTGCCGCGAAAAGGAACTGCAGACAAACAAACAAAGGTGTTCAGGTGTTCAGAGCCAACTTACACCAAACACAAGCAAAAGAGCTGTTGCTATACAACCTGAAGGAGACCAAAAAGATCTCAGTTCATGCAAACTCTAGGCTACATACAGTAGCTCCAAAGACATTTGTGTGATACTTAAAAATTTATTAAGTTTAAGTAAAATAGCTTTTACTTTTAAGAGGCCATTTCAAGACTGTCACAAGTATTCCTTAAAAAGATCATTATTGTTTGAGCAGTTTCTTTGCAGGTTTGCATCCAGAATGTCTTTGTACACTTCTGAATTCATGATCTTGTCAATGAACACAAGCTCACTGACACCACTGTAAGAAAAAACAGCCCCAGACTTTGAGGTTTCCTACATTGTCCTTTACAGAACTCTTATTGCAGTCTGGTTGGAGCTCTTCTCCAAGATTTCTCTAAAATTGTCCCAATGTGCACTTTTTATACCAGCAGTAGCTCAAAGTGCTTTACAGACAGGTGTAAAAGTTAAGTTTTGTTTCTTCACAGTCTTACCGAGACTCGGGGTTTGGGTTAGTTCGGTTGGTGATAGGTAGCAAGGATGAGGAAACAATAAAGAGTGAAGGACTCGGCATTAGAGTTCGGTGGAGCCACTTTCAATGTAGAAAACACATTTGCTTCGGCTACTCGTTGCTGCAGGTCAGAGTGAAACCATAACAACTCTCCTCTGCTTCTTCTACACACACTCTCTCCTTTTTAACTCCACCCCCTTCACATATGTCACACTGATAACTTTTCATTTAACAGCAGCCTTAATGACTAAAACATTCACAGCTTATTCAAACTAACAATTATTATAATAGCAAATTATTGCTCTTACATATACTCCCTCACCCAAAAAGATATGTCCTCATTTCTATCTTTAGCAATAAAGAATCAAAAGAAGAAAAGAAAAGGTGTTGCAGAAGTATAACTAAAACAACAGATAAGTGAGGATAAAGGCTATGCTGAGGCCAATACCTAAATTAAATCAGAACAACAACAGTCCCAAACAATTAAAGGAACCAATAAACAAGTTCAATCAATACATATGAAAGTCTTTGAGGTGTGCAGGCACCCAACGCTGGCGGCGAGCTGATCCCATGGGGGCAAGGGATAGGCCGGGAGATGGGTCCTGAGGGATAAGAGAGGGGCCTGGGGGAGCATGTTTAGGTTCTTGGGGGGCAGAGGTTGTTGGTGCCCGAGGGGTGTGTGGCAAGGGGTTGGGTAAAGGTGGTTTTGAGACTTTGCTGTGCTCAGAGGGTGGGAGCATGTTTGGTGGGGCCGCAAGGGGACAGGCCGGCTCAGGAGCTACAGGTGGGTCAGGCCACAAGGGACAGATCAAAGAGGTGGGAGGGGCAGTGGAACTGGGACAGCTGTGCCGTGGGGGCCAGGGAAAAAAAGGTTTGAGGTGATTGTAGTGTAGAACTTTGGGCTTATTCAGTGGACGGGCCAAGTCACGTACCCAAAAGACAACAGGTAAAGGATTTTCTGCTGACGTAACAGGGCATAAGACCTCATAAGGGCCAATCCAGCGCGGGGCAAGCTTATTATGGTGGTGGGCTGGGTCATCCACTAAAACTAGGTCACCAGGTGCATAGGGGCTATAGTTGAAACGGCGATCATAGGACTTTCGCTGGCGCTGCTGGGCTCCGTCCCTGAAAGCCGTAGCTGATTTGTAGGTTTTCCTAAGCCGCATGCGCAGAGAAGAGGCATATGCCGCTGGAGCTGCAAGTGACCCTGAGGAGACAGAATCAGGGGTGCTGAGCAAAGTGTCCACTGGGACACAGGCTTCCGTCCATGGACCAAGAAAAAAGGAGTAAATCCGGTACTGGCATGGGCTGTGGTGTTGTAAGCCATTGCAACTTGAGGGAGATGATCATCCCACTCTTGACCCAAAGCGGCAAAAAATTTCACATCTCTGTGCCTCTGGGCCATATTGGGGAAAAGCCTCAGCCACTAAGTTAGTGAGATCAGCAGCATAAACTTCGACGGATTCCTGGTTTCTGCGAGGGCGGGCATTTAAGTGTGTTTGAAAAGTAGCCAAAAAGGAGCTTCGCCCAAAAACGGCGCTCAAGCGAGCTTTAGCTTGGTCATAGTCCGTTTTCACTCGCGGGGGTAAACTTTGCCAGTATGTAAACGCAGGGCCACCGAGTCTAGCAGCGAGCAGCTTTGCTTTTTCTAACTGTGCAGTGGAAACATCAAGAGCAACTTCAAAACGCTGAATCCATGAACTAAATGGCTCTAGTCCCTCGCCAGTGAACGGAGCGGGAAGTTCAATCCGAAACGGGAGTTGTGAATGCCCTGCGTCAGCCGAAGCTGCTGTGCGCGGCGGCAAAGGAGCAGGCTGTACATCTTCGTCCGCCATTACACAACGCAGAAAACAAGCAAAATACAAGCAGCTCGTAGCGTAAATGTTTAAGCAGATGTGGAAAAAAAAGTTCGACAGTCCACCTAGTAGCTCTAAAGTCCAACTTTCAGTTCAACTTTCCACCAAAAACACACTAAAAAAAATGTCCAATGCAGTTATCGTCGGTCACCGCTGCCAGATAATATGAGTTACAGGTGAGCGATATGGCAAAAACTGAACAATTACAAGGTGCAATACGTCGCACTTTTTATTCCTTTTCAGTCATCTGATCAGTTAGAACTGAGAAAAAAGAACCAGTAGTGCTACATTTGAAAAATATACTATCAAAAGCTGTGAATACAGTGATTTTTCTTTCTATATTAACCAAACTGTGCACTAAATCCAGTTAAACGGGACTAATTTTGCTCTCTTTCGAATGAAACATGTAGCTGATACAGATTTACACACGGCCGAGAAGCGCAGTCAGGAAAGCAGAAGCTGGTTGTTAACCTACCTTCACACAATCGCTCTCACAACAGACACAGCAAAGCGCGAGCGTCGAGCTCTCACACTAACTCACTCACTCACACACACACTGAGCGGTCTCTGTCGTAACAGACCGAGAGCCAATCAGCAGCAGGAGCGTCTCTTACCCCGGTGATGGTCATTGTGCTGATATCTCTCTCTCTCTCTCTCTCTCTCTCTCTCTCTCTCTCTCTCTCTCTCTCTCTCTCTGCTTTGGTGCCTCTGCTCTCTCTCTACGCCGCTTAAATTCTCTCTCTCTCTCTCTCTCTCTCTCTCTCTCTCTCTGAGGGAACCCACAGCTCGTCTTCTCTCACGTTCCATTTACGGTACGGGACAGAACCGGAGTGACGTCACCGGCCTCCGTTCAAGCGCTGTCTATCAGCCTGCATTAACAGCGCGGCTGTTTTTCTTTCTTTTCTTCTTCTCCTTTTCTTGTCAACGGCCGGTGAGGTTCAGTAAGGCTGTCTGTATGTCGGTCTGTCTTAATTCTCTCTTCTCTGTGTCATTTCTCAGTGAGGCGGGAAATCTCATTCACTTCAAAAGAGCGGGGTGTTTGGGATGGGGGGGTTTACAGTTTGACAGCCCGTAGCTGGACAAGCATGTGACGTGAGAGACATTTTACCATCCAAATTCTGTGTGTGTTGACACTTTCTGTCAGGTTTTTTTCCCCAAGCACTGTCAGTGGGTGTTAATCTCTAACATTAATAGAAGATTTGTAATGATGGAAAATATCTGTTTGTTTTTTTTTTCCTTTCTTTCTTTCTTTCTTTGTTTATTTTGCACTGTTCCATCTTACTGAAGAAAATTCTAATTAGAAAGGTTTTTATTACACAAATATATTATCAGTATAATAACTGAAAAGTAGAATCTTTGAAATTTCTAAATTAATTAAAGGATTTCTTAGTATTTGATATGTCCTTCTTTTGCTTTAATGACAGCATGCACTCGAGCTGGACTCAAGTTTGTGGAAAAGCCTCTGATGAGCAGACCAAACATTCCTGAGAGTTGTCTGGACACAAGCTTTATTGCAAGAGATCTGACTTATTTGTACAAAGGCCTAACATGGTCAGTGTCTCAAATTAGCTTAAATTTGAATAGTAACCAAGAAATGGTGCAGAGTCTTGAATATTTCTTCTTCATTTTGCTTGTCATAAACACTTTTAGACTTTCAGATCTGCTTCAGTTTTCTTAATTATAGAATATGTTGGCCCACATATGGACGCCTATAGGCTTTATGAGATGAATGAGTTTGATACCATTGAAACCAGTCATTCACTGAGCTGAAGCTGAAACAGCACCGTGTCATGAAGTGAGAAGTGAGTAAGGCCGCATCAGAGCAGCTGATGGAGAAGTTTTAGAATGTCCAAGTCAAATTCACCGTTAAAACAAACACCCTTAAATGAATGAGCCTGAAATCACAGTGTCAGAGAGATTGATGGACATGTACCAGACACAGATTACAGTTAAAGGAGGTACAGTCCACTATTGAGCAAAGGGAAATATCAGATCACTGCTGGTGCACGTCTATTATAATGCCTATTTATCTAATACTGATTATTGCTTATCAAACCACAGTGGAAAACCTCTCAGACAAATAAAGGTGTGGTGAGGGTTCACCCAGCCTGTTTTTAGGGTGTTATTTGACAAGAATGACAAAGCATATATGGGGGATTCCTGAGTGCCAGTTTCTGTTTTTGACTGAATAAGATGTTGAGATAATATTTATGGAAGTCTCTGTTTGTGCACTTGTGTGTTTGTGTGCTTACCTGAGTATTTACAGTGTGACTGCGACTCAGTAACTTATGCAAGTCATTGCTGTCAGCTGTTCCATTTTCGGAGCACTGTGTGTACTTAGCACAATTTTGTGATGACTAATATGCTTTGGTTCAAAACAAGTCACTAAATGAGTTACGTTGTCTTTAGCTTACAAAAGACATGCAGCCACAAAAGTCAGTAAACATCTGCCTCTCCACCTGCTATGGTTTCATTTTTTACACAACAGGTAGAGTAAAGAACTGTGTAGTAGGTTTCGGTAGTTTCAGAGGAGTTTTATGAGATTCAGTGTGGAAACTGCTGGTACCACTACTACTACTGGTAGCTGTGCCTAGTTCTCAACTGAACGGACCACTATGTTTAACTCTGTACGAGATGATACACACACAGAGTAATTGTAACTTCTACATGTATGTAATACACACACTGTCAGGCACGTGGGAAGATGTTTCAAGAAGGATGGGCTGCCAACTGAATGGAAAATGATAACAGAGTATGCAGAGTTTCAGAGAAGATTTCGTGTAGTATGACATGAGCAAACATGTCAAGGATTTTGTTTTTTTTTCACTTTGGATTGTATCCAACATCCAATTGTCTCTGTGTAAAAGCCATTCTCTAGCTTCCAAGAGTGAGTGTGTCCTCTCCAGCATAAGCTGCCAAAGGATGCCATCTCGATGTGCCCTCTGAGCATCCCCTCTTGGCCCAGGAACTTTAATCTAAATAAAAGTTCCAACATGGTCCTGGTAGCATTTCGATCCCGATCTGCTAAATCAGAAAGTATAGCACTGATTGGAGTTGCTCCCAGTGTAGCTATCACAGAATGCAGATCTGATAAGCCTTGTTGGGCAAACTTTTCTGTTGTTTTTATCAGTTGCAAAAATCTCCCTTAGCAAAGGAACTGTCAGTGTGGAGGTGCGCTAATGCCTTTGCCACTGCCTGGTAGCAGATAAAGCAAAGAACAGTCAGTTTCGGCAATATAGTGCAACCATTGCCACTTTCAAACCATGCTTGTTGTAACGATCTAAATCCATGCTAAAGCATACCATAAGCTAACATATGACATCGCTATGATATAAATGTGAGAGTTAGTGAAGGTATTTGACAGTCTATGCCTGTAAAATGCAAACCCCATTATCCATTTCTTATTTGGATCAACTATAACATTGCTAGCTAAATCAGCATGCTTTAGCCTAGTTCCAATAGCTGCTAAGTTTATGCTACCAGCTCATATTTACGGTCAGTGATGTATTTAGAACTTCCAGAAGACCTAAAGTGATGTTTTCTACTCACAAAATTGCTCCCACCCATTAGAAAACAAAACATGTTTGGTTGATTCTTGCGTTACTTCATAATTATGCTGAGGGTTAATCTAATGTGTCAGGACTAGTGATGAAACGATATTAAAATTTCATATCACGATTATCATGACCAAAATTATCACGATTATCGGTATTATCGCGATATTGTTCAAATGTGTTGAAAAGTAAAATAAATTAAAAAATAAATACTGATACACAAACTGAAACTCGTTTCACCAACTTTTATATTAACACAAAAGCTTTTTAGTTTTAAAAGCTTTTTAAAACTAAAACATAACTTAAAATTAACGCGCATCTGAGCTGCGGCAGAAACACTCCTGAAGTTTAATCTCTGAAACTCTGCTTTTCCTAAAAGCGGCACACAGCGTTTATTCGTGCAAAGTCCCGTCTCAACTTCCCTATGTAGTGCACTTCGTGGATCATGAAATAGCAAATCCTTCACCCAGAGAGTGCAAGAAACGTTTGACTAAGTCATCTATAATCAACATTAACAACAGGTTACAAAGTCCCTATTTAAAGCTCAGCTGCTGGTTAATGATGATCGTGTTTGTTTGAACAGTAGTGCACTATGTAGGGAACATTGAGTGATTTGAGACAGTGTTATTCTCCTCTCAGACAGTAAACACTGCAAGCGAGACGAGAAAGGGGAGCTGCGCAGATTGAACTTCTGCAGCGTCTCGTTCAGGAGCTTGTGTGACTGTTAACTCAGAGCTCATTTTGGGGACACTGCTCCAGATTTGTTTTTTGTTTTGTTTTTTTTTTGTTTTTTTTTTGTTTTTTGTTTTTTTTTGAGGCTAAAAGCTTCATTTTATATTATTAACGAACCATAAACATAAGTTAAACCACACAGACATTTTTTTCTATTTCGAAGTCCCCACAGACTTCTACGTTCAAGTTAACCTTGCATTCTCTAAAAAGTAGCTGGTGGTGGTCGCGAAGATGACTCATAAGGTTTGATGTGTTGCCCCCTT